TACTATCACGAGTAACTATTGAAAGTAATTGTTCTCGAGACCAATTTTGAGTCATAACAGGACGACGAGGAATTACCAAATATCGTAAATCAGCAGTGCTATCATGAACTTGAATTTTCATATGATCAGGAAGTATAGTTCCAAATTCTTTTAAAATCGAACGAGGATTTCTAGGTGCACGAACACGATACGATCTTGACTTATACCAACCTGGTGGATTACCAAGCAACTGTCGAGGATAACACGAACAAAGAGTACATACAATTAAATTATGAATTTTATCAGTATTTTCTACAACTATCATATCATTACTTAATTTGTCAAGTTTCAAAAATTCCACAATTGTATTTGTAGCATCTTTTAATAAATGTTCTTTAAATTGAGGATTTAACCAAGCTTCAACAACAATATTCGCTCCTCTTAATTTTGTTCCAGTTGTCTGATTAGTTTCAATCTGTTTACGTAATTCTTCATAATTGATAATGTTTTTATCAAATAATGCACTAATCAATGATTCTGCTAAATGTTGAGCAGGTAATGGTGCTCCTTCACGATTTATCGCTGTTTGTTCGACAATAGCTCTAGCTTCATGAATATGATCGTGATTATGATTTTGATGTTGATGATCAAAATCATCTTCATGATAATCTTCATTTTTCTCTTCGTCTGTTGATGAATCGAGTTGAAATGCAGGCATTAACCAATGTTGATAAACTTCTACATCAATAGTATCATCAACATTACCTTCATAATTATTCCAAATATATTTCTGATTAAATCTTACTCGATAAAGAGGTTGTTGATGAGTAGTACTACTAGTATTATCATAAGCGAAATATTCCGGATTAGGATATGATCCACAACACTTTTCAATAATACCAACTTTACCATATAAATAACCAGGAGTACGTAAATGAGGTTTAATCCAACGAGTAGCATAATTTTCATGATGAACACGTACTTTATCACCAACATGAAATAATTGTTCATCTGTTGAATGTAAAGGTGGACCATATTTTTTATTCAAATCTTCTTGAGTTAATACGCCAGATTCCAAACAATGTTTAGCAATAGAAATTGCCCATCGTTCATAATAACTTAATTTATTGTAGATTGTTTTATCGATTGATTCTATTCCTTTTCGTAAAATATGACCATTCATAATACCATTCCTGCATAATAACGATAGTACGGCATCAATTTGTTGTTCCCAATAGGCATATTCTTCAATATTTCGATTTAAAGGTTTTAACAATTCTTCATCATTTTTCAATTCTTGTTCAGTAGTTATTGATGCTAAATCAGACACTCTATCAAGTGATACCATTATCAATTATCTAAAAACAAGAAAAAAAAGATTAAGAAGATAAATTTTCTTAGAAATTTTTTAAAGTGTCGACAAAGTAAAAATGTACAAAGATGCATTTTTACAACCTATCTAGTTTTTCTAGTCTAGAGATAAAACAATTTGTTTGTCATTGTTGGCATCTTGCAATCAACCTAGAATTATAGAGAGAATAATTTTTGCACAAAAAAGAAACATCTCAATGTATTATCACTTTTTTTTTCATAAGTTATGATTGATACAGCTAAGTTCAAACATCCTCAAAAAACCAACCGAACGATCTGATGAGACTTCATTTTATCTAAAACTTCTCGAAGAATCGTTGCAGAAAACACGATGGCATCGAAAATGAAAATTGTTTTCTTCATAATAGCGGCTATAAATAACTGTCAGACAAATCCAGGACTTCATTTCGTAGAAGTTTTATTGTTCTAGAAGTCTTCCTCTAGGTTTTTTCTCAGAGTACAATGTTTATGTCTTCTGTTCATAGTATTTCTTTGAGAAAACGTGGTATATACTTTAGAATTTTTTCAATTTCTGAATTTGTAGATTTTGAGAGAAAATATTTTAAATTATTTTTTGGACTTTTTACCCAACTTTTAAAATTAAAATAAAATCTTTGTATTTTAAAAAATGAAGATTTGTCTCTTATAGTTTTAGATAGAGAGTAATTTCGAAAAGTTGGAAGATGACAAAAGTAAGACCTTAGTAGAATTGATATTGTTGTGGAAAGCTAAACATGGTCGAACGAAAATTGATTGACATCTTTTTTTTTTAATCAAAAAAAAATATAGAAGAGTCATGGCAAATAATCAAAGAACATGCGACAACTCCATTAAGGTTTTACCCTTGTCGTCTTCGAAATTTTCAACATTACTCGGGCATACCAAATTTTCTAGCTGTTCTTCTTTCATCATAATAGTTTGAGTGTTGGTCAGATCGATAGAGACATGTGTGAAGAATTATATGAAAGAAAAATTATTTGCTCTTCATTCGTGTTAATAACTATTTATGCTAATTAATGTTAATTTAGTCTACTCTACTAGCTTTACTGTTCCATATTTTCAAAACAATGACTTAACGAAAAAGCTCATAATGATTTAATATTGATAGAAAATTTCAGGATTTATTTTTAAAAAAAGAAAATTTGTTTAATTTACTATTGTTCATAAGGCAAACAATTTATTTTATTTAGTCCTCCCCTTCCCAAATCCGAAAAAAAATACAGTTTTCTCTAAAATATTGATTTTAAGATATATACGTAGTTCGATAGATCAGATTGTCTGTGTTCGAATGTACTATGATTTATTGGTTTTCGAGGATTTTACAGATACATTCAAAATCAGAAAAATGACTATCTGCTATTCATGACCTAAGTCGAGACGAAAGTAGCTAGAACACGTTCTCCACGTGCTGCGTGAATACGTGACGATTAAGTAGTTCTACATGTGTGCGTCGCGTTTCGAACGTGTTCTTCATAACGTTCGTTGTCATCACGAATGCTCATTCTTATTGATTTATACGACACAAGAATTAATCTCTTCCTTTTCTCATCTTTAATATTTCAATTTTATATTTACGATAAAATAAAAACAATAATATCAAAATACATAACATCATTATCGTAGAAAATTTCCATATAGATAACCGTATACTATCAAAAAGCTGAATATGGATATTTATTCTTATTAGACTTTGTAGAGATTACTTCAAATACTAAATACTGTGAAATAGCTTAAAATGAAATTTTTATGATAAAACATCAGAAACAATCGATTCGTATATTTCAAAATGGCTGTATTTTGAAGAAATATGAAATAGTGAGTTTTTTTTAAGAGAAAATATTTGTTCTACAAAATCTCATAGTCGGTTTCTCATTTATAGTCGACTCATTTGTAAAAGAAATCAAAATACTTTTTTTTTTACCAAAATAATCAGCGGAAAAGCTCGACAAAATCTGATAGGCAGAAAAAACTTTAAATAGTTTATATTTTTTGTCGTTGACTATTATTTTCAAAAAAAGTCACAAACAAATTCTCCGACTTGTATAAGTAGATTTAATCCATAACCGTTATCGACATTGCGAATTTTTATTTTTTTAAATGACGATCTGATGAAAAACTTTATATTTATATTAAACGAAAATGATACATCAAGATATTCTAGATGATGAAACGATCATTTTTGAGAATGAAATATAATATTGGACTTGCGCATTATTAAACAAAAATATTTGTTTAAAATACATAAATCACAAATAATTTGCTTAGAGACAAACTTATAAATACACTCTAAAAAATCAAGACACATGAAGTGTATAAATGAGACGATTCGTTCGTCTAAACAAGACGCTTAGCGCTATTTCTGATTGGTTGGTTAAAGACACATTTAGACACTTGAAGTGTCCGCGGATAACCGATTTGGAACACTTGAGCGTCTTAATCGGTTCTGATTGGACTGTTTACACCAATGGATTTCAGAGTCTTAGTACTGTCTTTTCTAGACACTTGAGCTATCTATGACTTCTTGACTCTGGAAAAAACATATTATTTAAATATTTTACCTGATGAAAAATATTTTTCAATGAGCGAATTTTATAAGTTTTGCCTTCAATCGAAGCAAATTAAAACTTATAAAAAATTTCAAAAAATTCTGTAATTTATTTTTCTTTTTAAATGTCAATCAAAATTGCAAACTCTCTATGTTCATCAACATAATACATTATCAATTTTTTTTAGATGAATATGTCAAGTTTGCAATTTTGATTGACATTTAAAAGGAAAAATAAATTATAGAATTTTTTGAAATTTTTTATAAGTTTTAATTTACTCCGATTGAAGACAAAATTTATAAAATTCGCTCATTGAAAATATTCTTCACAGGTAAAATATTTAAATAATACGTTTTATCCAAAGTCAAGAGATCATAGATAGCTCCAGCATCTAAAAGCGTTTTAAACAAATATATATGTAATAAAAAATTTTTTCAATGTAATGCTGGAGTTTAAAATCAAATATATATTTTTGATCTATTTTATTATGTTTGATAACTAATTTTAAATTCGCTTTTGTTTCAATTTTTCAGTTCATTTGCATGATGAAATTTGATTTGACAGACGAATTTATAATAATTTGGCATCAAACAATCTGCAAGAAGTTTATTATCTGAAAAAAAAATCATAGTCTTGTATTAGAAAAGAATAAAAAACATCTTCAGTTTCATCAATATCTATATATTTGTCAAACCATTTCAGACTTGAATATAAATCTACTTGAAGCTATACCTGCATATGGTTAATTACTATATTCTTTTGAGTTTTCAATAAGCATCATAAGTAACTTATGAGTATGCCAATGATTGGGGTTCATATATACAATAACAAGAAATGTGAATATTTTGTGTAGATCAGTAATGTCAACACGAATCTGTATTTTTAATGAGAAGTTCATTGAGTGTCTAATGGAAATCTTAAGTTACTCAATCTTAATATGAAGGAACCGCACTTCCAATTCTTCAAAGCAGATAAAAAATTGAGAAACAGTGTAATAAAAATCTTTCCTACCTTAAGTAATTCACCAGTGCAGTATGAGATAAAATAAGTCGAACTATAAATAAATGAAAAGAGATAAAAACGGTACTTGTTTGTTATCACGTCGCAAATTTTTTAAAAATTTTTAATATTATCCTATCCTTTAACTTTTAATCCTTTCATCTTATTATCATTCCTATTATGCCCGTATTATGTCTAGTACATGTTTCATCTTAGAAAAAAATTAAAAAAATTTTTGCGGGCGATAACAAACAAGTACCGAAAAAACTAAATTCGAATTTAAAAAATAAATTGTTATTAGATTGAATTCAACTTCGACAGCCACGTGGAATGCTTGACTAGAATCAATAGAACAAAGCTCAACGATATGTATATATATATATCTAAAATAGAAAAAAAATATTGAAGGATTATTGAAGAGCCTGTATGATTTGTCTTCATTTTTGAAAATGAACTGCAGATGCAGCCAATAAAGAACTTAAATAAAAGTAAACAATTGTTTGATTTTAATAACCAATGGTTCATGTTATCTTAAGGCACAACAAAAAAAAAGAGGACGCTGGTGAACTTAATTTAGAAAACCTAAAGTCTTATAAGTAAAAGAAAATTATTATTTAACAATTTAATTGATAAAAGAATCGACAATTCATACCGTTCTCAAATCCACAGGCATGTGGCCGTAAGCGAAAGAGATCTATAACAGGATTCGCTAAAACAGTTTCAGACACATCCGTGTCTATACGCTCATGTGTCTTAGAATGAGACGGTTCACGCGTCTAAATTAGACTTAAGACGGATGAAACGTCTTGTTAGACGCGTGGCATATTTTATAGCTACCATTGCTTTATTCAGTTTGATGATGACCTCTATCAAGAGGATAAGAATGCTACGTACGTGTTCTAAACGTACGACCACTATCGAATGCGTTCATCTCAACTTGGAAAAGTATCCAGCATGATGAAGAAAAAAAACTTGATTTTCAGAGTTGAAACTTATTTTGTGTTACTCTTGACATGAATTTTTAAAATAATGTTAGAATTCGAATAGAACGTATCAGGTTAAGGTATTTAACCTAATTAATTCATTAATGATTTAAATCTACATCTTATTCATGCCTTTTTTTATGAGATGAATAAACTTCTTTGATGATTCGATGCAGTTCAGATACACGAGCTATCATGAAATAAAGATCCAGTCCATGAATGGACAAGATTACTGAGCAGAAAATCATACGACTTGCTCTTACCAAGTTTCAGTAATCTGACCAGATTATCTAATCTTTCGCTAGGGATATTTCTCATATTAGTGCAAACTCAACATAAGTAACTGCTCATGGTTTCTGAGAACAAGGCTAAAGTTCGAATAGCTGAGAAATTTATTCAAAGAAAAAATTTCATTTATCTCGAGTAAGTTTGGCGCTATAAAGAAAGAAGCATGATTCAATTTCCTGTGGAATAACATTATTATATCATGAAATAAATTCGGTTTCATGTACCAACTGAAACGCTCTATATAGTGTCGTACTATATCAGTTCATCTCTAGACAAAATAGAGATGAAGATCAATGGCTTCAAAATTCTCAAAAACGATGTATGCATATTATAAAAATTCAACTTGATAGAAGACAAAACCAATTGCATACTTTAAGACATGGAATACGCGATGATTGAATAGTATTGCCGCAGAACTCTTGAATTTTATAATGGTTCAAAGAATTAGGTTGCACAAAATTTTCTTCGGTTTTTTGAAGAACAGATGAACTGAAGAGGATTTGGTAGCAGATCAAAAAACTGCGTTGGTATTTTCTGCTAATTTCAAAACTTCAACCATATTTTTCAGTACTGAAATATTATTAAATACAGTTACTTGCGCTAAAACTATCGACATTGGATCATCTTGACGGTGTGGGTGTGGGCCAAGAGGATATCCCTACACACATCCACACCCCCACCCCCACCCCTACACCCACACCCGCACCCACACCCACCTCATTCATGAGATAAATTAAGTCGTTGTGGTTGAGATGGATGAGGCATATGTGGATAAAATAATGGATCAGGTGCTTTTGTTGATATAGATGCAAGTACATCAGCACTTGCAATAATACTAATTGTTACTAGAAAAGTTAGGAGTCGAAGGTAAATCATAGTTGTGATGATAATTGAAGTTGTAAGAATAACTGTAGTAGAGACACTCATTCGACTAGAATTTTTACAGAACACTTATTTGATAAGGATTAATTCAATATATCTGATATCTTCCAATGTAATAGTTTGTTAAATCACAGAAAATTGAATGTTTTCTCATCAAAATAAAACAATAGAAAGATTGAAAACAAAAGAAATCTGATACTTCGTTATCATTATAATGCTAAAAAAAAACCTCAAGGTTTTTTTTTAATAGGTGCTGCTCGAAGTAGAGAGAGATAGGAATCAAGGACATTGTTATCGATTATGATTTATTCTAATGTTAGAGTGTTGAGAATTTCTTTCTATCTGTTGTTATGTCTCTTATTAGTTCTTAGAACAACAATTATAGTTTGATTGATGTTTTGACGTAAGAAGGGTAAAAGTAAGTATATAAGAGGATTTCAAGTTACTTACGACGATCGTTTCGAACCTTGCTTAAGAGTTCCTCATCAGATACATTTATGATAAAGCAGATTGACTTGCGTGTCTAAGACACAAATCGACTTGCTCATCTTAACTCTTGCTTTTCAG